AGGAGCCTAAAGTGGGACGAGACAAGGGAAGTCGGGCTGCTCTTTGTGGGCGGTATTGGACGTTTCATACCTGGTACCAACCCTGGTCTACGATATTGCTCGCACGCGGGATAAATGGGAAACTGAACCCCGAAAAAAAAAAGGAAGGGGTTCAACTTCATATAAATGTTGGGTATGGATTCCATACTCCGTGCTACGATCTCAGTTTTGGGACATTGGGGGAGGGGGTTGAGAGATTGACGTCAGCTGGGGCCATCAAGATTTCGAACTGGCCTGCGCTGCCGTGCCTCGTATTACTCGTGTACGCATCAACAAGACTTGAGGAGGCAAGAAGAGCCGCGTGTGCCACACTCGGGGTTAGAGCCCCATCATGGTGCATAAGGCTGGAAAGAATGGAGACCAGAGAGAGACTCGGGTATTCTAGCCTTTCCACAGTTTTCTAGCGTTGAGACTGTGCAGAGACAACCGCTCGGCTGTGCTGAAGACCGCAGCTGATCGATGGATGTATGGAAATCGTGTATTATGGCGTATATGGGTGTATTGTGGTCATTAATCAAGGCCCTGGTCTGTTTGTCATCCATAATGCCCCGCGCCTGACGTCATTTGGTGCAACAAGTCGCCCAGGGACATGGAGGGACAGGGCTGGACAACTTGATTGCTAACCGGCCGAAGCGGTTGTATAGCGGCAGATATCCGCCCCTGTGTGTGACCTGGCCGAGGCAGGACACGGAAGGAGGTGTAAGGGGGGGTGTCGCAGCGTTTCAACCTTTTGAACTTTTCAAACTTTTCCAACCCGATGTTCCGACCGAGGATTGTGGCCAAGCAGGGCCAAGGTCAGTTGGGGGGAGAGGCGCAGTGCAACGCCCTGTTTTGTTGCAGGTTGTGCCCGGCTTGCAGCAGGTTCTATAAGGCGATCGAGTCAAAGTCCATCCACATCCACATGTACTCCATATGTAATACATTGATGTATATGGGTCCCACCGTACCAAAGACTGGGCAAGGCATCCATGGGCGCGAACGGGAGCGAACCAGACGATGTATGTGTAGAAAGTAAACAGAGTAGTTGATTCAGATGTCAGCCATCGCAGACCGATAGTTTGCCATGAACTCTCTGGCAAAGGAGTAGATATGTGAGGACATACTCGGTGTAGATGGTCAAGGGCGAAGGGTGAAGGGTGAAGGGTGAAGGTTGAAAGTAGAGGGAGCCTCACGTGGCGGTTCTTTGCCTCTTTCACCTTCACAACCTTCCCTCTTGACTCTCCTCTTTACTTTACTCTTATCTTCTCTCCTCTTTACCCTCCATCACTTTTAACTCGACTCGATCCTTTCTTCCTCCATCTCATCTGATTCCTCTCTCGTCTCTCTTGCTCAATCCACTCCACTCCTCCATCTGCTACATTCTACTGCTAGCTCTGCCGATCTGAGAGCCTCACACTTTCAGGCATCAGCCCAGCCCGAAATCAAGAGCCCTACGCCCTGACGACTGTTGAATAAGTCTCCATCGTCTCCTCTCTTTTCTTCCATTACCTTCTGGAAGTCCCCAATCGGATCCCGCCTGGGTTTCCGCCTCAGACACTAGTCGATCACAGCCTCTTGCACAACCCCACTTCCCTGCGCCCCCCAATTCTGTGCAGTGCAGTGCTGTGCAGAGTGCATCTTTCTCCCGTGCCCCTCTGCCTCTGACATCTGCGGCCCCTCCTCCACCTTCATCCTTTTTTCCCCCTCCTTATCTCCCCTCCTCCCCTCCTTTCTCATCTCCCGTCTCCCCTCATTCCTATATCTTCCTCCGAATCCCGAGTACAATGTCGTACTACCGAGACGGAGGCTACGACGACCGCCCCGTCACCATCAAACGTTACGTCATTCCATCAGACGAACGAGAAGAACGTCGCGAGTTCTCCATGAGTCGTGACGATCCTTACAGCGAGCGAGAGCTCGTCATCCGTCGCAAGACCGAATCGGACGAGCCCTTGTCCGTTCGGCGCTATGAGCGTGATGTCGAATATGACCCGCCCGCTCGCCGTTACGAATACAGTGAGAGAGATTACTATGAGCGTGAGTACCCAGGCCCCTATACACATCGCCACATCTCCCGGTCCGCAGAGCTGCTTCGTGCGCCGGTTCCCAACCCGGCCCCTGCTATCATCATTCACGATCAGCCAATAATCGTTCATTCAGCCCGCAATGTTTACGCCAGTCCCCGCGAATCCGAGTATGATGTGGTCCGCCGATCAGACGCCGAAGAGGATCCCTATTATTATCATCATCGCCGACGAGTCCGCGAATATGACGACCGCCCTCGTCGAGAGTTGAGTCCCGGCGACTCAGTCTCTCAGGCAAGCCGCCGCCACAGTGACCGTGACCGTGAGTACAGCAGTGATGACAGTATGGTCTATGTCCGCAAGGAAACCCGCAACTACGAAGACGAAAATGGCCATCACCACAAACGCCATTTGGCAGAAGGTGCCCTTGTTGGTGCTGCCGGTGCTGAGTTCCTCCGCAGTCGCCGTAAGCGCGATGGCGAGGATGTCAGCCATGGCTTGAGCCATGCCGCTAAGACGGCCGGCGCAGGTGCTTTGGGTGCCGTGGCCGTTAATGCTGCAGGCCATGTCCGGGATTACTACCGAAGCAAGAGCCGCAGCCGTCATCGTGCAAGCTCCTTCGATGATGATCGCTCCCACCACTATAGTCACCATAGCCATCACAGCAGCCGTGGCCGTCATGGTCGCAGCCGCAGCCGCAGTCGTTCTCACTCTCACTCACGCGCTAAGACACTCATGGAACTTGGTCTCGGTGCTGCTGCCGTCGCTGCCGGTGTCGCTGCCTTACGCAACAACAAGGCCAACAAGGAAAAGGATGGCAGTGATCGTAAGAGCCGCTCCCGCACTCGCTCCCGTTCTCGTGGCCGCGCCCTCAGCTCTACTCGCTCTGAGAAGGGAGGCGATGACAATCGAAGCGAGTCCAAGCGTCGCCAGCATATGGCCAGTGCAGGTCTTGCCGGTGCTGCAATCGCTGGTCTGGTTGAACACCACCGCAGCAAATCTCGTTCGCGCAAGGGAGAGCGCTCGCACAGCCGCCTGCGAAAGGCCCTCCCTATCCTGGCTGCTGGTGCCGGTACTGCCGCTGCCACCGGCTTCTATGAGAAGAAGAAGGCCGAAAAAGAAGGCAAAGACCCAGTTAGCCGTGAGCGACGCCGGTCTCGCACCCGATCCCGCAGCCGCCACGGCCATGGGTCTGAGATCTACCCCGACCCTTCCCGCGATTCTGCAGGCTTGATTGAATATGGAAGCAACCCGGTCGCTGGTAGCATTCCTGCAGAGCACTACTATGGTCAACCCTCCAGCCCTGGAGCCTACTATTCCGATGGCCAGGATGCCTATGGTGCTCGACGTCACAGTCGCAGCCGCAGCCGCGGCGTCGGACGATATAGTTCATCAGGCTCGGACCGAGACGACCGTCGTAGCAAGGATAAGAAGCATCGCAGTCGCTCGCGTGAAATCGCCTCCGCAGCCCTAGGCGCCACCGGTCTCGGATACGCCGCGCACCGTTTCAACCAACATCGGGACCGCAAGAAGTCCGAGAAAGAGGGTAGAAGTCGCAGCCGCAGTCGCAGTCGCAGCCGCAGCCGGACCCGTGAGTTTATGGATTGCTTTTCTATTATAATGATATATTTACTCACTGCTACTTATCAGGCCATAACGATGACATCCACCGGGACCCCTACGAGGAGGCTTATGACCCAGAGCCTTACCCGCCTGCATCGGCTTCCCACCCACCACCACCCGGGGACTACTACCCGAACAACAACTACTTTCCCCCGCCCCCAGGTGGCTCGACCCCTAATTTGAACGCGACTCCCCAACCGTACAACCCATCAGACTACCCCCCCCACCTCCAGGTGCCGCACCCCCACCCCAGCCATACAGCTATGGGGCTGCGGGGCCGGGGCCGGGGCCAGAGACGTACGCGCCCCGACCGCGGAGAGCAGAAGAGAATGTGAGTAGTTCAAGCTCAATCCCCCAGCATGCGCACGAGGGTGTGTTCATCCATTGCAAATCGTCTAGTCCTACCCATGAGAACGACTAACATATAGCAGGTCTAGAGCGATCAGCCCCAGTGCCCGGCGGCAATGGATCTTCTAAGTCCGTTGCCTTCAATCTAAAGGGATATGAGTCGGATGACAGCGATTCCACAATCAATAATGATTCCTATCATGACTCTCACCAACGCCATAAATCCTCTCAATCTCGCTCCAGGTCCTCTACAGATGAGTCAGACTCCACAATCGACCTCCCCGACCGCTTCGACTCTAAAGGCCGTCTCATCAAAGAGAAGAGTGACAGCTCGACCGAAAAACTAGAGGACTTTTTGAACAAAGTTTCCAAGGTCTTGTTCTAGCTTTGTTCTCATGCTTCGGCTTGGCCGGTCGTTTGGCTTAGCCTGTTTTCTTCCATATCTGCTCGGTTGGTCCGCACTAATTCTTGAGATTTTGTGGCTGGTTAGGGCTCGTTGCTCTTGCGCTTTATGCGCTGGCTTTCCTGCCTTTCGTCCCATCCTCTCGCCTCGCAAACTACCACTGTACTTTCTTATGCCCGTCTATGTCTACTCGATTTCTTGCTATTGTTTTGATGTTCTTGATTCTCACTTGATGACTTATGCCCGCGCGATATGATGATGATTCATGACTGTATTTCCATTTTGATAGTTCAATACCTTTTTTCGTATACTTCCGAGTCTGCGTGTGTAGAGCCTGTTCAGTACCTAGGTAAGATAAGAATATACTCCGAGCGTCCGGGGTGAGTAGTTTGATTCATGAATGCCGGATCACTTGCCTGGCAACTACAAGGGCACACATGCCTAGGCACCTGGGTAATCTTCGTTATGATCTACAATCCATGGATTTGCCATGGCTCCACGTGGACACTCCGGAGTTTATGAGCTATCAAGAATATAGTATCAAATTGGGCGTGGCAAGACAGCACGACTGAAAGGTACTTATTTCACATATTTACTTTCCTCTCAGAGCCTAGAGATTGCCGACTAGCAACATTCGGATCGGCCTCCTGGTAAGCCTCGTAAAGCCATCTCTCATCAAATGGCCCAGCCTTGTCAACAAATCTCAAATCCGTCGCGAGCCGAATAGCTTGCTCTGGGCTCTCATTCCGGGCACTTATAACATTATGTCAGTTTGAGGATCGAGTTCTGAAGAGATTGGAAATACTTACCTCGCATGGATCATAAAAGGATTGTGAAAGACCACATCGCCAGCCTCGTACGGCGCTACAAGCCAACGACGGCCCCAAAACTTACCAAATGTAGCCGCATTCCGATCCAAGAAACCACCAGCCATCATATTCTTATTAAAAGCAGAGAGACGCTCTTCATCCGTAAGATCCCGGCTCTTCTCAGAAAAGTCTGCCTCGAACTTCTTCCCAATATCAACCGACTTCTCAAGATACATCAACCCTCCACCCGCCAAAGAACAGTCACCGAGCGGTATCCATGCCGTGACTGACGTAGCCGGTCCTGCCCGTAGAAATATCTGATCATAATGAACAGGCGTAGTCTCTGCTCCGGGAACATTACATCTCAGCAACGTTCGTTTCAACAACATGGGATCTTGGAACTGGGCAAGTTTTCCAACAAAGCCTTCCAGTGGTTCCGCCACCTTGGCCTTGAACTCGAGATAGAAATCTGTGACATGTGCTTTGATGGTTTTCTCGACGAAGATCCCCTCGTCTTTCAGCCCATTGGCAACGCGGAGCGCACCAGGTAGCAAAAATTGCCTCCAGTCGTTGCCCGAAAAGATACCGTCCCGTGGGTTCGTTCCCTTTTTGAGGATCCCGGAATCCCCATTTTCGGTCATGAACTTGAAGTATTGCTCTCGCATGTCTAGAACCTTTTCTCGATCTAGTATGCCTTTCATCTGTTGGAGTGGAACGAGTACGAGTCAGTATATAGGAAATTGTTGCTTCCGACTCCTTTATGTCTTACCCATAGGTAACCATCTTCCTCGTAGCGCTTACGAAGCTCTTCGATAGGAAGGTCCGGACGTGAGGACTTCATAGGACCTATTTCTTGCAGCAAATCGCCGTTACTTGCTTTCAAATTGCTCAAGTCATGGTCTTTAATGGCCATCGGTGATGGTTGGAAGGCTGTAGTCGCCATATTGACTCCTAAAAAATCTCCAAGAGTTGATGCAGGTTGATTGAGATGGATTAAAAATAAATATTAAGAGGTTCCTACAGGTCAATAAATACCCTGAGCAATCCAATGGCCAACTAAGTAATAAATATTACGACTTGATGTTATTGTTCAACCCCGCATCCAACGGCTATAGACGGAGACCCGGGGATGCTTCTTCGGAGATATAACCGAGCTCCAAAATGATCGATCATCAGAATGTAATATAGTTACTGGTGGAATTATTATTTGAGTTTGTGGTTGGATTGACGTTGATATTATAGCGTTTAGGGTGTTCATTTGGATTTCGTTTGAACGTTCATAAATCCGGAGTTTGTCATCAATATCAAATCAGTCTAGACGGACTTTGATCTCGTGTTCTGGGCTATTAATCAGATACCAATATAGAGATTATTCGCCTAAATTACAGTCCCAATAGCTTTCATGTGTGTTTTTTTCGACTTTTCATTGCCCTTTTTGAACTCGTAGATAGGTGAGAACGTCTGAGAAGTCCTCTGTGGAGCGAATATCTGCAGCGAAACTACCTAGTAAATGTGTTTGTCCACAAAATTTGTTATATAGCATCTTCATGCCCTGCAGTATTGCCTTTTCGTTATTACCGTGCTCAGAGATTTCGAAAGTCAGAATGCCATATTAGGAATGACTATCATTTCCATCGTGTGCCTGACTTCCAAGGGTTATTATGGGCTTGAGGTACTGAGGGCATCTATCTGGACGTAGTTTAAGCATACATAGAACCTGCATTTGCCATCGTCAATATCGAAATGGTCGAAACGGATTTCCAAGGTCCCAAGTTATCAATTATACTTCTATACTCTGAATTTCTTCCCCAAAGGTTTTTTGACCTTTTCAAGTTTCTTTCTTCCCTACTTTTAATTCTGAAGGTACCTAGGTAATGATGGTGATTTGAGCATTATTACATGCTTCATATCCCAGATTAGAACATCAACCATACTTAAAGAAACTTCTGATCAATGAGTGTGAGTGTGTTTTTCTGCGAGATAACTCAATCACACCAGGTCCGAATCTTTTTCTAAACATACCCACTAGCTCTGGGCAACATGAAAACTACAAGGGAACTAAATCTAGGAATATCTATGCATGTTTCAGCGTCAACTGGAATACACACATGGAAACTATCTCATCTTTGTGATAGACATCTCAGACTATCTATAGCTTTGAATCACGCGTTTGATACCTGTGAACGTCTTTGTACCTACTTGTAACTAGTACTGGACAGGCAGTATTCACGCGTGAATGTTGTTTGCGTGACCGCTTTAGGCTCTACTACTCTCGCTCTTGTTTGTTCAAGTCCCTCTTCTTCATCTCTCACTCTTCATATACTCCTCCTCACCTCTATTGACCTTGTACATACGTGATCTTGTCTTTCTTCTGCATCCTCATTCCTTCTTGCGCCACATCTTGGTTGCCTTGTCTTTTATCCCTTCTTGTCATTCTCATATTCCTTCGATTCAATTACCTCGGTTTTGTCTGAACCCTCATGCAAGACGCGTCAAAGGAAGAAGCCTCTTCGAACTAGGAGAAAGGCCCCATGGACGACATATATCTACTCCCTTCGTGTGAGAAGCATCCTGAACTTGCCTCGTTGCACGAGTCGTTATTTCTGGCGAGATGATCATCTACAAACGGGCTTTCAAGATGATGGTCTACAGTGCCCTCGAAGCGAGTGTACTTGGTCAGGCATGACAACCAGATGCCAACAGTGTACACCCAAGCCCGAAGGTAGCATCTTTGTACGCTGAGTTTCCAGTCCTTCGATACTTTCTTCTCTAACCCTTTGCAAGGCATTGATTTATTTCAAAGTGGTCTTTGAATTCCCATCTTTATCGTGATTTAAATGAGTCGATTAGGTGTTCTGGACAATCTCAACTGAGAGTAACATATACACTAACATATAATTAGTGAATCAATATAAAAATAATCAAATAGTACAAGTATGCCCAGGTGTCTACAAAAAGTAGTAACTTTTAATTTTTTTATAAGCAATTATGGCAGTGCTGAGACCGGTCGAAAGCTTCGTGAGCTTCACTACCAGCTCATCATATCGACTCCCTTTCACCCCATGCTCCGCCTTTTGTCAAGCTTCGTGTTGCCATCTTTCCAACCTACCGTCGCAGCTCCACTCTCGCGAGAAGGGCTACCATCTGGACTCGACGGCTACCCGATTGAGTAATTCGCCTCTCTCAATCAACATCTGCGCCTGCAAGGAGAAGACTTCGATCCCGCATTTCCCGCGACGCTGCATGAACGTGCCGAAATAGCCGCCAATTCAAATCTAATAAAATACAAAATCCAAACAGGGGTATTCCTCAATCTTTATCCACCTAGCCAGAATCAGCTTGATGTCGTTCAAGTTCTTCGGCAAAAAGGACGGCAATGAAGAGTCGAGACTACCATCCGTCAGACCATCCTGTGATGAGTGTTTGACGCCACCACGCGGGGTTTTTGGCTGGATACCAAGTAAATCTCCCATGGTCTTTTCATTTCGTTCATGGAGGATTTGCTTGGTATTCAGTCAAGATTTCCAAGTGGTTAGATTGCAACACACCCTTCACGGGGCGCTACGATGGATGGCAGTACAACTACCTAGGTAGCCTCTTTAAAGCCATCCAGATCATGTACTAAGTACCTACTTAGCTATCACGATTATTAGAATGGATAATTTTCTCTGCCAGGATTGTGTACATTTTTATTACTCGTAAATTCGAGTAGAGTTTCCCAAAATCGTGAAATGCTACCATCAACCACCTGCACGCAGCCGAGAAGCCATACCAGCTTGGAAGACTCCAGAATCATCAGGTCCATGAATATCAACAGATCATCGACCATTGGATATAATATAATATAATATAATATAATATAATATAATATAAATACAAGGTAAGGGTATCCAACAGCAAAGAAAGGTGTGCGGCAGACATGCCAGAACAGATACCATTCAAGTTCCAAGCTAGTTCTCCAATGGAATAAAATACCCAGAAGGAAACAACTCCACCCCAGACCCCAATTCGAAATGAACACGGGCTATCAATGAATCCAATAGCCAAGTCATTTCTGCCTCGTGCAGGATGTGATATAACAGAGACATGAACAAGCCGAAAGGGGGGGGCGAGGGCGTTGAAAAGGGGCGGTTCAGACTCAGCGGCTTTTCCACTAGTCCTGACGCATCTAAGCAGTAGTGGAGCGGTGAAACAAATCAAAGGCAATAAAATAGGCGTCGTGAATGGGTATACAGCGGGGGAAAAGCAAGGGGAGGAGAATGGAGGGAGATGAAATTGCCTAGTCAAGCCAAGCCAAGTAAGCACCATGAGGAGTACCAAACCAAGCATGCTCGGTGATGCCTAACGAACAGATGCGGGCTTTTTTTTGTCGCTTCGTGTATCACATCGCGTCGCGTCTCATTACATAGGGATCGAATAGTAATAGAAGAAGAAAAAGAAGAAAAGGCCAGTGGCGGAGAAGAGGAGTGGGAAAAGGTGGTTCAAAATGGTGGCTGTCGTAAGTAATGGACATAATTCTATCGCTAAAGTATCGAAGAAAAAGCAGGAAAGAAGAGAAGAGAAAAGAAAAGAAGATAGTAGAAAAAGAAAAAAAAAAGTGTTAGGCCGTGAACTGTCGTTTCAAAAATCCCGATCGTGGCTCGGGGTGGGCATCAGTGTCCAGCAGGCGGACTGAGGTGGACGGGACTCTCTTGGTGAATGAGACATGGACGGTCTCATTGCTGGGCGGCGTGGTGTCTGGATCATCATCGCCATTTCCATCACCGCCATCTTCATCAGGGACCACTTTGACGCGGGAACTGATGGGGGCAGAGTAGTAACGAGAGCTGAGCGGGAGCTGGTATTTGACTACTCCGCGCACAATGAGTTCAAATGGATGCTGGAGGACTCGTTCCCAACGCTCAGTGCCACCTTCCTCTGTCTTGTTGCCAGGACGTGGGAGGCGGATCTGTCCCTTTGATGTAGACGCGAAGTGTTCCCAGGGAGATGCGTCAAAGGAGAGAGGCGAGTCAAAGCGGAAAACACGACCGAGGAGCATGGTTTGCTGGTCTCCCTCGGGATCAGTGATAGGGTCTGTACCATGATCGACGCCATCTTCCGCGTGAGGCTTTGATTTATTCCGAGCCTCCGCCTCACGAACACAGTCCATATTTCCCAGGCATCGGACGATCTGCGACAACTGCCAGCGACGCTGACTTTGCTTCACTCGTGGGAAGTGATCTAGTTCATCGGAATCATGATCGCGCCAAAGCTTGTCGGTACCAACATATCGACTCCTGGCGAAGATATTGACATCAGTGTCATCAATTGTCACCGGGAATATATTCGGATTCATCGCTTGAACGTTCAGATCCAGCATTATTTCCTGCTCTGATGCGAGCACGTTTTGGATCGCGAGAACTTGGACATCTTGAAGAGTCTTGGTCGCGGAGAGCACAAATGTGGTGGCACCACCAGCGATAATCATCAACAGGAAGAGTATGATAGCACACGAGCCATATCGTGAGAGACAGCCACGCTGCCGTCGCATATACTCCATCTGTCGCAAGCTCGCGCTATTGGGCCTGCGGCTGCCGCCATGACCACGACTTCGAGGAACTCGGGCACTGCCAACTAATGGTGTGCGCTCATCATCAGCGCCTTCAGCATCGAAGTCGAACATTTCGTTTGACTTTTTGGAACTACCCATCGTTTTGTAGTTGGGCGAGGATCGAGTATTACTATTTCTTGAGTGCCGATATCCATTTCCAATAAAGTGTCGCGGTGATTTGAGCTGAGTCTGCTGCGGCGAAAGTGCAGAGTCGTTGTCAAAGAGTGATGGCAATACACCATTGCGTCCATGACGTCCAAGGTTGTGGCGCGGAGTCACAGCTCCACTGCCATCGACTCGAGAGGGATTCCGGCTCCCATCCT